ATCATAATCTCTTCTCCTCCTTTCGCTTCCCAGGATTTTGGGCATGCATGCACATATGTTTGGCGTGACTTTCAAGCTGCCAGGTCCAGGATTCAAACCACAGTCGGCCATATGGGAGTCCAGTACCTAAACTACCATTCCACCTGCTGGCCCCTCATATGTTGAAATTTGGTAAACCATTGCAATGGTATTAAGAGGATGGACACTTAATACGAGATTAAGAGGTGACTCTTTTGGGAGGTGCTTAGAATTAGATAAAGCTATCAAGATGGGACCCTGTCACCCATGATTAAATCCTGATGGCTTTATAAGAGGGACAGAGACCAAAACTGACTCATGCTCCTGGCCTCTTGCCATACAATGGCCTACATGGGATAATCTTATAATCCAGTAATTCCCCTTCTGGGGATACTTAAAAGAATTGAAAGTGGGAACTGGAACAGATATTTGTATGCCTGCGTTCATACTCCCAATAGTCAAAAGTTGGAAGCAACCCAAGTGTTTAATGATGGGTGACCAGATAACAATGTGTGGTATGTACACACAAGGAAATATTGCCCAGCCTCAGAGAGGAAAAAGTTCAGAGACATGCTATGGCATGAACGAACCTATAAGGCCCTTGGCTAATGAAGTAAGTCAGCCATAAGAGAACAAATACCTACTCCATTTACACAAGGAACTGAGAGGAGAATGGAGGAGGAGGGGTTGTGCTATGGCCATCAAATTCACAGAGGCAGGCGGGAGAATGGTGGTTGCCAAGGGTGGGAGAAGAGGGGATTAGGGGGTTGTTCAATGGGCACAGAGTTTTAGTTAGGGAAGATAAAGGTTGGAAGATAGTACTGCTGGTTGCACAATCGTGAGAATGTACTGATACTTAGTGCCACTGAACCGTACATCTCCAAGATACACGGTTAGGACAGTTCATTCATGTAAAATACCACATTACGTACATTTTGTCACAATCTTTTTTGAGAGAGATTTTTGCTATAGGGTGTGTGCACTCACTGGACCAACAGAGAGACACAAAAGTGAGAAATCACCCCCAGCAGGTATGGCTATGCCTCAATCCCTTCTCCTCCATTCTCTTCTTGGGATCTTGGGCACACATGTACATGCGCCCGGCATGAGTTTTAAGCCACGGAGTCAGGAACTCAAACCGTAGTCAACTACATGAGAATCCAGTGATGTAACCATTATGCCATTTGCTGGTCCCTAGATTTTGTCACAATTTTTAAAGCAACTTCTTATTTATGACATGGCGCACACATTTGGATGCCCTTAATTTTTTTTTTTCTTTTAAACAGAGGGTGTGCTTTCACTGGGAAGAGACAGAGAGAGAGAGGAAAAGTGAGAAATCACCCCCCAGGAGGATGGCCATACCACAATCCCTCCTCCTCCATTCTCCTCTCAGGACTTTGGGCACACACACACATGTGCCCAGCATGTTTCTAAAGTTATCAGGTCCAGGACTTGAACTATGGAGTCATCCATGTGAGATCCAGCGCTTTAACCACCCTGCCACCCTCTGACTTGTGCTCTTACTTTTAGCTCTGGAAGCAATGTTTCTGATGACAAAGTAGGACCATTCAGATAATAAACTTTTTCATTGTAATTAGTGCATAATTGCACAAGATGTCACTCTTTAGCTGAAAATTGTTCCAAGTGAGGTCCGTAGTTGTTATAATGCAAAAGCCCGTGGCTACGCTTCAGTGCTTCTCATTCAGATACAGGGTTCTGGGAAAGAGGGTTTCCATCTGTGAAATATTTCCACTGGCTACTCATATCTATGAAATGTATGTTAATGTTTCTTAACTTCAAAGGTACATGTTGAGCCTCTTTACAAGTTGAATTGATGTACTTAAGACATAACTAACTTTGACTTTATGACATCACTTTGAAAGTAGTTAAGTTAGTGAATCAGAAAGCCATACTGTAAAGATTCTTGCTTATTGAAAGTCAGATGGTTTTTGGCTCTATCACTAACCAATGTGTCACCTTGGGCAAGTCGTTTAATTTCTCAGTTTTTACCAGTTCACCAGAGTGATAAATACTTATTTTGTTAGGTCAATACACATTACTATACATTTAGTATATATTATCATCTGTTTACATAGATTCTTCTCATTCTAACGTATTGATTTTTATAGTAGCAATTAAAGGGTAATTGTTTGACTAATACTAATAGGAGTTCAGAAATAGAAGATATGATCTGTAAGAGAACATGAGGGGGGCTGGCAGGTGGTGTGGTGGTTAAGGCGCTGGACTTCCACATGGCTGACCACAGATCAAGTCCCAGACCTGGCAGCTTGCTTTCTCTCTCTCTCTCTCTCTTGCTCTCACTCCTTCCCTCTCTGGTCAAGTTAAAATAAAGAAATAAATAAAGTAAAAGAAAATAAATTCTTTTTTAAAAAAAGGACATTAGGAAACTTAGTGAGACTTCATGACATTCTCAGTATTTTAGGAAAATATTACTTTTTCTTTTTTGAGAGATTTTTGCTATAGGACATGTGTGCTTGCTGAAGAGAAAGAAAGTAAGAAATCAACCCCCAGGGGGATGGCCACACCACAATCCCTCTTGGGATTTTGGGCATGCATGCACATGTTTCCTGTGTGAGTTTTTAAAAAATTAATTAGTTAGCTAATTACTTTTAATTTGACCAGAGAGGGACAGAGTGTGAGAGAGAGAAAGGGAAAGTGAGAAAGCAAGCCACCAGGTCCAGGACTGGAACCCCAGTTGGCCATGTGGGGAGTTCAGTGCTCTTAATCACTGTGCCACCAGCAGGCCCCACTGCTGGTGTGAGTTTCAAGCCACCAGGTCTAGGACTGGAACCCCAGTTGACTCCATGGGATTCCAGTGCCTTAGCCACTATGTCATCTGCTGGCCCCTACTTTAAAACAATTTAAGGACCAGATACTGACATGGTGGTTAAGGTTCCACATGGCTGACTAAGCAGGTCAAGGCCAACACCCAGTTGCTTGAAAATTCACCAGGTTTGGACCAGCAGATGGCATAATGGTTATGTTGCTGGACTCCCACATAGCGGACTATGGTTTGAGTCCCAGACCTGGAGTGTGTGTGCATCTATGTGCCCAAAATTCTGAAAGGACAATGGAGGAGAAGGGACTGCAGCATAGCCATTCCCTTAGAGTTGATTTCTTGCTTTCTCTTCCTCTAGTGAGCACCCTATAGGAAAAAAAGACCCCAAAAACAAACAAACAAAAAATCTCAGCTGGTGTGTGTGTGCCTAGAATCCCCAGAGAAGAACTGAAGAGAAGGGACCGTGCTGTGGCCATTCCCCTTGGGGGATGATTTCTCACTTTGTCCCCTCTTTTTGTCTGTGTCTCTCTCCAGTAAACACACACACCTATAGCTCCTCCCAAAACCGAAAAAATAAAAGTTTTCAACTACAATACAATTTTTTTAGAGGAAGATTTTTGTTATAGGGTATGTGAGAGAGACAGAGAGACAGAAAACAAAAAATCACCCCACAGGGGAGATGGCTCACTACAATCCTTTCTCCTTCACTCTCTTCTTGGGATTTTGGGGCATGCACGCACATGTGCTTGGCATGAGTTTTAATTAAGCTGCTAGGTCCAGGACTCGAACAGCAGTCGACTATGTAGAAGTCCAGGGATGTAACCATTCTCTATCTGCTGGTCCCACAAATCATTTTTTTAAGACTTATTTTTATTTAACATTATTAGTTATTATTATTTTGTTTTGACCAAAGAGAGAGAGGAAAAGTGAGAAAGCAAGCCACCGCACCACCTGCCGGCCCCTACAAATAGTTTTTTAAGAACTGATTTGTGGAAGACATTTATTAGTGGTTTCTGATATCTAAAAATAATCAAAAGCCCATAAAAATAATAAACCCCCCAGATATTCACTTCTGGGTTAATGCTGGATGCTATGGCATAGTAACGAACTAGGATATTGTGTTTTTATTAGCATCGTAGTAACCGTTGGTAGGATTAAGACTGAGTTACTGGAGCCGGCACCCAACTCCCACGTGGCTGACAAAGCTTGTGTCCTGGACTCTGTGGTGTACTTGTTTATACTTTCCTTCTCTGTCTCTGGTGAGCACACGTGCCCTATATCAAATATATATTTAAAAATAATAAAATGAAATAAATAGGGACCAGCAGATGGCTTGGTGGTTAAGGTGCTGGACATTCCCCCATGGTTTACCACGGTTCGAGTCCTGGACCTGGTGACTTGCTTTCTCACTCTTCCTCCTTTTTCTGTCTTTCTCTGGCAAAACTCATGTGAACAATACAAATAAATAAATAACTCTTTTTAAAAATTAAATATATTTTAAAACGTTTGGAGTCTTAGGAACTGACAGGTGAAAATATAGAACTCATGGGACAGAAAGAATGCAAGTGTCCTAGAGTGTTTGATTTAAAAATTCCGATGGTCGTTTCCCTTCATTTTGCTTCATCTAACTGGATCTTAAAACCTAGATCTTTCAGTTAAACTTTCATGAAGACTTTTAACTTTTAACAAAAACTTTTAAAACGAGTAAACATCTGAAAAGAAAGATAAGATTTATTTAAATTTGTACAATGACTTCAAACGTGGAAGCAAAATACAAGATTTATATCTCATGAGGCAGGGCTGCTTCTCACATTTATGGGGGGGGTGTGCGCGTGCGTGACAGGGGGGTGGGAAAGCTTCCAGGGTGAGGGAAGTCTGGGAGGGGCGTCGTGCGTCCCATTGATAACCCGTTCATTCACAGAGATCCGGCTGACAGACGCAGACCAAGCCCGCATGCAGTCGTCCCCCCACTCTAGCAGGGCTCCGGCACCGCTCCCGAGCTCGGTAAGCCCCAAGCGCAGCAAAAGCGCGCTGTTCCCGAGCAAAGTCTGCCAAGATTTTGTAGACGGTTGACCGGAGGGTGGAGAAGGGCGAGGGGGCAGAGGTGGTATTAGGGAGGCCTCCTTTTGCTGTAGTGTTTGTCTGGGGAAGAAAATTCCCATGCACAAACGGTCTCGAAGCGATGATCCAGACGGTAAGCGGGTTCCCGGGAGGAACTTTTCCGAGGGGGGCTCTCGCAGGTGGCTGCCCACTGGGGAAAGCAGCGTCTAGAACGTCTGGGGAAGCGGAGTTCGCAGGTGCGTGTGCCCGGGCGAAGGCTGCGCCCGGCTCAGTGGGTGGCCCTGGCCTCTGTCCGCAGGTCCAGAGGATGCTCCTCGCCTGGCCCTGCAGCCCCTGCAGCTCCCCG